GTTAATCAAGTTGATATTTCAATTAACCTCTTGTTTGTTGGTTCCTCAAACAAGCTCACACATTAACTTACCTATTTTCTTATTAATCTTAATTTCATATTCATTACTCTTAAGCATATGATCAAGTGTTCAGAATACATATGAGTTTAATAATCAAGAGATGTTCATGCAGCTTAATTACCTTCCAATTAACAGAAAATAGTTGTTATCAATGCATAAGGTTCTTTAACAAACTTAATTTAATAAAATCACCAAATCATAATCAATCAAAAAGTATATTATAACCATAGGAGCAAATTAGTCTTCCCAAACAGAAACTAAACGAATTTAGCTCATAGTCATGATCAAAACAAACTCAATAGCAGATTTAACTAAGCTAAACATCTTAAATTCCTAAAGCTAAGTGGAATGATTAACCTAATAGCCTTGATTCTTCCAAGGATTGAAGATTAGGGTTCCTTAGCTCCTCCAGGGATTCTTTGTCGCAGGTTCAGCTCTTAAAATTGCCAAAAGTCTTTTCCAATCGGATAATGGATTGGTATTTATAATTATCCCAAAACAAGGTGTACTCGGCAAGTAGCAGACCCAACTCGCCGAGTAGGTGTTAGTTATCCGTCTCAAATCAGGAGTCTTGTCTTATCTTCTGGAATCTTCTCATGTTCTCGCCGAGTATGCTCGAGAACTCACCGAGTACAACTTCTTTTGTCCCACGACACAATTAGGTGTTCATATTATCAAGAATTAAGAACACATTAGAGTTTTATAAATTTGTATTTATAAAAATTAACAAAGTGATCAATTTCATTAACAATCTAATATTTTTTCCGAATAAAGTTTGGAATTGAGCACACAAATTCTTACAAACATAACACTGAAAAAAAGCTCTAACATAATCATTTTATATTAGCACTTGGATCAAAAGTTTAAAAGATATACCTTGTTGTTGGAAATTGTTGTGATATAGCCTCACATAATGACTAAAAATCAACACATAATCTAACAACCAAATTTTAAACTATACTTACAGTAAAATGATAATAATTTTCTTGAATTGGGGGTGTTTGTGATTCCTTTTTAATCTCTAAAAAGGACTTTTTGGCAAGAAAGACTTATTAACTTATTACTTTTTTAAAAGGAGTTTTTTAAAAAGGTGTTTGCTTAGCTTTGTGGTGAGAAAAGTCAATAAGTTAATAAATTAAAAAAGTGTTTGATTGACTTATACATGTAAAGTAACGATTTTCAATGTTAATAAGTCAATAAGTAACAAGGAGTTTGCAAAAATTATAAATCCTGACTTTTTAAATCTTATTTTCAAAGGCTTAAATAGAAGTTTTTAAAAAGCTTTTTCCTTTGTCAAACACTTTTTAAAATTGATTGACTTTTCAAGAAGTCAATAAGTTAATAAAGAGTTTTTAGATGCAATTCCAAACATGCACTGAAATAGATGAATCATCCTTTGAGTGAAGCATATGGTTAATATGACCTAAAAATATGTATAAAGGAGGTGGTTACAAGCAATTTTCACGTCCATATGACCATATTAATGGATAGGCTAAATTCAATATGGCTGTGTAGTTCATAAAATAATGTCCAACATCTGCCCCAACACGACCGTGTGACATTTATTCGCAAAACTCAACACAACTGTTTTGCACTTTTGTCCATCGTTATCTAACTTCGATCCCAATGTCAAAATCATGTCTCGAGCGTATTTTGGTGTCTAGAATCTTTCTAAGGTTCTCTATTATCTCTTACAATTACTTCGAACCTACAAAAACAACCAACAATACCCCAAAGTAGATTATGTTCCACCAAAGCATGTATTTCACAAAACGATATGATATGCATGGAATAAATGTATGAAATGCAATATAAATGTATGTAAAAGTATGATAAACCATGCGTAAAAATGTTCTTAACAAGATGTTACTTTATCGGGTAAATGACTCTTGAGGGTAACTCAATGTTGCGTTTGTTTTCATTTGACCCCTTCCCATTTTTTTGTACTCTATATCATCGAACTTGTTGTTTGTGTTTACCATAACCCTTTTGAACGACTTTTGACCTGTGATAGTCGGTCAAAGGGTTATGGTGAACACAAACAAGTTCGATGGTATATTGAGTACAAAAAAAGTAAATGAACCAAATAAGAATAAACTCAATAGTTGGTTACCCCCTGGGTCATTTTCCTCGAAAAGTTAAATGAAATTAAAGTTGCAAAATTATCAAAGACTGCAACATTCTTTGACCATAACCTATATGAAGAGCGTTTCGGAGGGGTAACTTCGTTAAAACATGGTCTATGCTATGCTTGTTGTGGTTAGCTGTTAACACTTCTCTTCAAAAGGATATGACTGTGTATGAAAGGTATATTTATCAACATAAACGTTTACCTCAATGTATATTATGGTGATGTGTCTGCAAAAGCTGCATGATATTGTACATATTGATGTTGTATCTTATCCCATGAATTCGATATTAAAACTAAATAAACTCAAAAATTACAGCACTTGTGATTCCACTCGTTTGTAGATTTGTCTAGAATCTATGATAAGATAAATCATTTGATTAAAAATGCAAATGTAGTCATGAAATGCACCTGCTTAGTCAAGATTCCCCTAATAAATATTCAAATGTATTACAAAGTTGTACATGTATGAATAATGCTCTTTCATGGGTTATGTTTTGAGGAAAAGCAAAAAATGAATCTCATAAAGTTATTAATATCAGCAGGAGATGACGTGAGATTTGCTGTAAATGAGTAAATGGAAAATGAATCAGGAGGGTAACCAACTGTTACATTTGTTCTTATTTGGTCTATTTTTTTTGTACTCAATATACCATCGAATTTGTTGTGTGTGTTCACCATAACACTTTATAACACTTTGATCGGCTATCACATGTCAAAAGTCGGTCAAAATGGTTATGGTGAACACAAGCAACAAGTTCGATGATATATTGAGTACAAAAAAGGAAAGAGACCAAATAAAAACAAGCGCAACAGTTAGTTACCCTCAAAAATTATTTTCCTTACTTTATACTTGTTTTTTGATTATGTTGTTACACCTTCATATGCTTTGAACATTTTTAAATGTTAAGAACTTTATTGTTATGAAATCTTTATCTACAAATTGATTTCTCAAATGATTATTAGTTAACAAAAATTTGCCTCAAAGCTTGTTTTAAATACTATTTAAAAGAGCTCATAAGAAGAATGTTTTAATAGAACTGTATAGGATCTCACAAGGAATGGTCTGACTGATGGGGGCCAAATGACCATTTCATAGTGCCACTGCCGTTTCATAGCGATAATATTGTAAAATGATAGTTATTTGTACTGTTTGTGAGCCAAATTAGCATTTAGCGGTGCCACTATCATTTTCTAGCAACTGTGTTGTAAAATGATAAGTTATTTGTGAAATTTGTTAACTTTTAGTTATTTTTACAAAATTAATTAAGAAAAATTACCAATCTGTCTTTTCCACTGAATTAAAAGAATATAATTAACATAGTAATGGGATCATAAATCATGAATGTATATAATAAATAATTTTGTAAGGAATTGTCTAAAAAAGTATAAAATACCATGATGCATTTGTAAGAAAACGAAATAGGAGGTGGTGACCTTGAATCATCAATCGACAGACACATCATCTATTTTTCTCAGAGGAAACGTATACAAAAAGACCCCCAAATTGGATTTGACCCGTCCATTCATTCATCCCAAGATTACAATACACAACACAACCTCCTCATTTATCTCATCTTCCTCCCCTTTTTCATTCTTCATTCACTCATCAACAAATCCCTCTTTTCTCTCTCTAAAATCTTCCAATTTAACAATACCCCCTTCTCCTGAATCATCCATCTAACTTCCACCGATACAATAATCATCCAAAAATCAATCTAATTGCTTTGATCAGATAAGGATTCTGTTTTCTGGGTGGGTTCTTCATACTACCATCAGAAACTTATTATGTTTCTTGGATTTTGATGGATCTTGCTTCTTGATTACATGTAATTCTTTTTTGTTTTTTTGATCTATGATGATCATAAATGTACAATCTTTATCTGACCCAATTGAAAAGCAAAGTTACCCATGTTGCATATCTTGATAATTTTATATTTTTCTGAACTTACTTTGATGGGATTTTTTGTTTTTTGGTGATGGATGATACTTGTTTACTCGATAATCGGACGATCAAGACGATCATGTCTGTCGTTGATTATCATCTTTTCTTTTATTCGGATGTTAAAATTCTCTGTTTTGATTGCTTGATTTTACCCAGAATCCGACCGTTCTTGTTCGTGTGATGCTTTAGATGAAAATTTCCCTTTATGGACATGATGGAATATCCTTTCTTGAAGCAATAGTATTCTTCATCTCATAGTTTCCTTTATGGGTTATGTTCCTCTTCTCGAAAAATTTTGGTTTTCCTTGTTTGACCGAATTTGACAAATCTTCTTCCATTAATTCAATTATGCATTTTTCATCAATGTGTATTGTTTGCCTTCGAATCATTGATTAATTTAATGGTTTTGATTTGATCTCTTAACAACAATTTCTGAACTTGGTATGCAATGGATGTATCTTATAGATTCCATTTTGATTATCTTCTGATGACGCTCTTTATGCTTTTGTAGTTTTTGGGACTTGAGGGTATATAAGGCAGTAATTCAAGGTATGCCATTGTTTTCTTTCTAAAAGGGGGTTGTTTCGATGACTAATTTTCAAAGTGATTACTCCAATTTAAAGAATCAGATAATCTAGGGATAGATAAGGTCCAAATCTGTCAGAAATCAGAATCGTAACGATATAAACAAAATTCCGCAATAATCGGTTTAAACGAACATCCAAACACCCTGAATTCTCGTTGAATTTGACGAATCAAGAGAATAATGTGGGTTCGTTCTATTAGTTCTTAGACCGAAAAAAGATGAAAAAAAGATAAATGTGTTTAATTTTTAAAATTTTAACCAATGTTTATGTGATTTCTAGCAGTTAAATCTTCTCATCTTGATTAATTTGGGCACTGCAGAATTGAGCAGTGCCCATGGACGCCACAACGAGTGGAACACCAACCCTTCAATACCACAACATCACCGATCAACCGATTCCCACCATCGCCAATCGACAAACCCGCCATTGTTTCGGAGATGCAACACCAGGAGAATTCCCATTGTCTGCAAACCCTTCAATCGTTCTTCATGTTCTCACTGGTTGTAATCTCGACCCACAAGATCTAGCAAAACTAGAGGCAAGTTGATCTTTAATTAGTTTTTCAAACAACCGAAACACTTTACCTTGACATTTAGAATTGATGGTGCTGCTGATTTCTATGTGAAAATTCTTGTTCTTTTGCAGGCGACATGTTCTTTCTTTAGGCAGCCTGCCCATTTTGCCCCTGATCATGAGCTCTGTTTATCAGAGCTTGCTGCTCTCGACATGTGCCAAAAAAGAGCAATCTTTAAACCAATGGCTTCGGAAGAACGCCGCCAATTAAAACTACGATGCGGTGGTTCCTGGAAATTGGTTCTCAGATTCTTATTGGCCGGAGAAACATGCTCCAGAAGAGAAAAATCTCAGGCGATTGCAGGACCCGGCCATAGCATCGCCGTCACTTCCAAAGGTTCCGTTTTCACCTTTGGGTCAAATAACTCCGGTCAACTTGGTCATGGCACAACTGAAGAGGAGTCAACGCCTCGCATTATCAGGTTCTTCCCATCCTTCTATTCATCAAACATCTGTCTTCTTACAAAACATATAGTATAACCTTAATTTGATTCTTCCAGATCATTGCAAGGGATTCGTATCATACATGCAGCAGCAGGGGCAGGGCGCACAATGCTGATCAGTGATTCTGGGCAGGTCTACGCCTTTGGAAAGGACTCATTTGGTGAAGCAGAATATGGAGTTCAAGGAAGTAAACAAGTCAACACTCCTAAATTAGTCGAGTCTTTAAAAGACATATTTGTAGTACAAGCTGCAATCGGAAACTTCTTCACTGCTGTTTTATCACGTGAAGGAAAAGTCTACACTTTCTCATGGGGAAACGAGTCCAAACTCGGTCACCAAACCGACCCAACCGATCTCGAACCGCACCCGCTCCTGGGCCCACTCGAAAACATACCCGTGGTTCAAATCGCAGCTGGATACTGCTACCTTCTTGCTTTAGCCTGTCAACCTACTGGCATGTGAGTTTAGTTAATTTCATAATCAAAAATTTTTGAAGTTAGATTTGTAGATCTATTAAATTCATTTGTTAAACAAACAGGTCTGTGTACTCTGTGGGATGTGGGTTGGGAGGGAAGCTAGGACACGGGACTAAAAATGATGAGAAACAACCAAGACTAATCGAGCAGTTTCAGACTTTGAACCTCCAGCCCATGGTGGTTGCAGCCGGTGCGTGGCATGCAGCCGTGGTTGGGACCGATGGTCGGGTGTGCACATGGGGTTGGGGTCGATATGGTTGTTTAGGTCATGGAAATGAAGATTGTGATTCGGTCCCGAAAGTGGTTGAATCTTTGAGCAATGTAAAAGCTATACATGTTGCTACGGGTGACTATACCACCTTTGTAGTTTCTAGTGATGGCGATGTTTATTCGTTTGGATGTGGTGAATCATCGAGTCTTGGACATAATACTGCAAATGCCGATGAACAGGTTCGTGTTTTTTTTTTTTTAATGCTTTTCAACAAGATGACATTGGGCAAGATGACACGATACAAATGAACAAGATGACATGATATACAAGTGATGTATTGTTTTTCAGGGTAATAGGCATGCAAATGTGTTGAGCCCGAAGATGGTGGAATCTTTAAAGCAAATTAAAGAAAGGGTGGTGCAAATTAGTTTGACAAATTCTATTTATTGGAACGCGCACACATTTGCGCTCACGGAAACAGGAAAGTTGTATGCATTTGGAGCGGGGGACAAAGGGCAGTTAGGGATGGAACTTGTGGCTAACCAGACCGAGAGGCCGACACCGGAACGGGTCGAGCTCGATCTGAGTTAGTGTTATTTGATGGTGACTACTAATCTCTGAAATCGGTCGCTATGATCGAATTATTTGTGTTTTTATTTTCAGTTTCGTGTTTGTTTCCTTCCATGTTTATTTCTGTACATAGAAACAAAGAAGGATTTGTGAAGAAAGTGTAGGTAGGTTGGGTAGGAAATGCTGTTAGGAAAACGTTGGGGGGATTGAAGTTATTGGTTTATGAAAAAGTAAATATTAATTGCATTTGTGGATTATGGTTTATTTGATTGAAAACAAGTGATTTGGTAATTTATGGCTTTCTTTCATTTGCGTTTTAATAAAACTACGACTGTGTAATCCAAATAGGTCGTTTATGGTTTATAGTCATCAAGTATATTTTTTACAACGCCTATGTGCATTTTGAAATTCTCTCAAGTTTTCCTTTTAGTAATTCAGAAGGCTGCAACATATATAGTGTTTTAGCAGATATGTATTTTATTCAGCTTACTGCCATTGACTTTTGTTGATTGTCATTATAAGGTAAGTAGCTTCTTCCGTTGTTGGGAACCTTAAAATCTAGATTTTAATGTGCTCCATCATTAACTGAATCAAAGAAAACGAGGATGGCACAAAATTGGCATGGGTCGATGCAGAGTAAGCAAACAAAGAAAATGATAATGGCACAAAATTGACATCGGTCGGTCGATGTGACCTAAGTTCATGACATCAACCGTGGAACCCTTCTATTACTCGATTGTTTTACAAAGTGATATACTGGAATTCTTAGTTATAAATATTTATAACCAAAAATCTTAGTAGTGGTCGATGCAGAGTAAGCAATCAAAGAAAACGACAATGACACAAAATTGACATGGATCGGTCAATGTGACCTAAGTTCATAACATCAACCAATGAACCCTTCTATTGCTCGATTGTTTTACAAAGTGATACTATTGGAATTCCTAGTTATAAATATTTATAACCAAAAATCTTAGCAACTACTGGCGGCCCATATGCAAACAAAGCTGGAATAAAAATAATAATATTTAAAACATACATCCATTCGAAATCGCCATTCAAGTTTTCTTTCTTTTGTTCCAAGTTTGTTTATTTATTTGGATCACTAAAATTAAAGTTACATCCTAATAATCCCCATATTTACTCGAATTTTCTTCACTGCAAAATTGGTTCATGTGGTTTTCAAAAAACTTTGGATAGGTTCCAAAAAGTTTCCAACTTGCATGCATGGTTTAAAATCAAGGTTTTTATTTTGTTTTGGTCCTAAAAATATTGAAATGTCCATTTTACCCTTATTATTTCTTTTTTCCATTTTTTATTGTGTTTAGTATTTAAAAAATTCTAAAAAAATAATAAAAAATAAATAATTTAACCCTACCCCCCCCTCTCTCTCTCTCTCTCTCTCTCTCTCTCTCTCTCTCTCTCTCTCTCTCTCTCTCTCTCTCTCTCTCTCTCTCTCTCTCTCTCTCTCTCCAGCAACCAATAACACTCACATTTATTTGTTCTTCAACATTCAAAAACACCATTGTATCTTCTTCGCTCACATCCTCTCTCGACTCCGACTCAGGCGAGGATTTGCTTTGTAATTGGTTGTACGATACCTTCCTCTCTTCCCATCCACACCTTTTCCTTGTCGTCCTCACGTTCATTTATTTCGCACCGGGAAACAAAGAAGAAGCAAAAAAACCATAACTATTTCACCATCACTGGAAACCCTAGCTCTGCAATTTCGAAGATAACCTTCATGGCAGGCGGCACTGCGAAGCCTATATCTCAACAAAACCATGAAAACGAAATGAAAATTGAAGGCAAGATATCAATTTCTCAACAAAACTTTGTCTCTGTCTACCTCCACCTCGATTCAGGAACATCAATGGCCAAATATACAACACTATCATCTTCTTGAAATCTCCAACCTATTTATTTAATCAATTTTTGATCTGAAAGGGTTGAACGTCTGAAATCGAGTTTTGAACCAAATTCTATTCATCCGGACAGCTCTATGGGAGAAGATGAAATCTAAAGCTGAGTTACAGAGCAAAATCGGAGGCCCAAGAACACTCAGATCTAACATCGGAGGTCCCAAAAAAAGGATTTTTTTTGGAAGTGTCCCAGAGTCGACGCTGAGGAATCTCTTTGTGCGATTTCGCAAAAATCCACCGTCACTTTGGTTGTTTAGTCTTAAACGTGAAGATTGGGTGGCAGAGGCTTTGGTGGTCCTGAATCCGAGGAGTGATTTCAAGAATTTCGAGTTCTTTCCCATTTTGAAATGTAGTTAACGGTGGTGTATTGAGAGTAGCTCCGACAAGTAGTTTGTTGGGGAATGCATCGTACTAAGAGAGAAACCGATCTGTGTTTTTGTGTGTGTGTGAGATAGAGATAGTGAGAAATATTTTTTTATTTTTTATTTTTAATTATTTAAATACTAAAGTAAATAGAAAAAATAAACGAAAAGGGCAAAATCGACTTTTCAAGTGTCTTAGGGACCAAAAAACCAGAAAAACTTTAATTTTGGACCTTCAATGCAAGTTGGAAACTTTTTGGATCCTATCCAAAGTTTTTTGAATACTATAGGACCAATCTTACAGTTTTGTCTTTCTTCAACTATCAAAGATTCCCAAGAGTCATCTCATTCCTTACTAGTTTGCCTAGAAGGGATCTACCTCCTATGAACATTCATCAAGTTCAAGCAATGCTTGAACTTCTTCGTTGGTAGTGTCTTTGTTAACATATCTTCTAAATAGAGAACATGTCTTCTTTAAGAACATCACAAATAAAGTTCATCCTGACATTGTAACACCCGTTTTACCTGACCTAAATGAGTAAAAGACATGGTTTTTGAGGATAAATATTTTCCACGATGTGGTGCACGGATGCCTGCGACGTGGCATGACTTTTTATGATCATGATTTTTTGGTGAGCACCACAACGTGGCAAGTAGTGTGCCACGATGTGGTGGCTGTGGCAGCCCAAACCAATGATCTTTTACGGTTTCTTTCATATTTAAATCCTCTAACTTCAAGATTAGATCATCTTCTTTAGCCTCCAACCTTCCTAAATGAACCTTATCCTCTTGTTGTATTATTGGTGTTCTAGAGGTTTGAAGCACTGGTTTGTTCTTTGGGAAGAAGAAGTTATGCTTGCTAGTTAGAAGAGTGTATCTACTTTAGATCTTGTGTATATTGCATCTTGTGGAGCTTGGGAAGGTATAAAGCTTCCACCTTTATCATCCTCTTATTTTCTTTCATGTCATGAAGTCCTTTGAAGAGCAATCTTGGAGTTTTGGACAGCTCTAGAACCTTAGGCTTGTTTGGTGACCATCTTTTGGTCCTAGGCAATGGAAAAAATGTTATGTCTCGGTCCCATTTGCTCGATGCACAAGTTGAGGTCATATTAAGGACTTTTTGGACTTATGGTTTAGGATTTTATCTTGTCGTGAGGTATTAATGGATAAAGTTGGAAACTTTATCCATTAAGTCTTTGAGAAGGACTAGATCTGAAGTTTTGGGTTTATATCTGTAGGTATTAAGTTGTTAATGAAAAAATGAAAGTTTTTTCAACAACCACGACATAGCCAATGAGGGACCACGCCATAGTGAAATGTTGATTCATGTTTAAGTTGTCTTGGCGTTCCCACGATGTAGCCAAGGAGGGTCCACGACGTGGTGAACTCCTACATGTCACCTGTTTTGTCTCGACGTGCCCACGACGTGGCCAAGAGGTCTCCACGTCGTGGTAGCTATTGACTTGGTTGACTGTTGACCTTGACTATTGACTTTTGACATTGGTTGACTTTTAGTCAAATGACTAGTTCTAGAAGGTAGACTAAGGGTTTACTTTGTGGGATTCAGTAGGTGGTATGCAACACCCATTTGTTGACCGTGTGAGCTAGTTAGTTGTTGAATACGTTCGCGGTGTAAGTTTTCTCACTATGCTATGTAGGTACTAGATTGTTTTAGTGACTCTTTGTCACATCCTCGGCCGACGGTGGAAACGTCGGGCGGTGCGAACGAGGGGATATTGGGTCGAGACATACATATAAATATAAAACACAACATAAAACAATACCACAAACATTTCTTTTATTGATTATAAATTATTCTGGGATTACATTATTTTTAAAATACAAGCATGAATAATTATTAAATTAAATACATACTAGGAACTAGGTTTTTGAAGAATGGTTCCAACTTTCCCACGACATGGCAACGATTCAACACGCTTTTTGAAGAATGGTTCCTTCATTTTATTCTGATCCGACATATTTGCATTCATAAGAAGAAGGCTCAGAAGTACTGTTTCCAGCCATATTACAAGAAGTCCATGCTTTCCACCCTTTCAGAATTCAATTTCGCCACTACTACCCAATGGGAGTATATTTCAATTCTTCCTATTTAATTCATATGTTCTTTTATTATTTTAGCATGCAATGGGAACATTGCGTCATTTAAGTGTGGGGTAGGAGGTTGAATCTAGGAAAACAAGAACTCTGATATAAAAACTGAAAAATGGTTAGGATTTTAAAAAAAATTATTAGAAATATTTGAAACAATTATCTAAAATTGAATCTAGTCAAACAAAATTGTTATGTTGAGATCTAGGTAGCTAGTGTTGTGTGGGATGATCTAATGCGAGTTTCGATCTTTATTTGAGCTAATATATGTTATAGTGTATTTGTGGCTTCCCTATCCTAGTGAAACCATGGAATAAAAACCCGACATTGCATGGTTTGAGGGCCGCAATATTTCTAGCATCTTGTACCAGAAATGTATCCACGAGAGCTTATGTAGTTATTGTATCTTAGACTAATGTCTCTAACCAACATGGGTTGAAGTTAAGTTCCCTTGATTAAGCATATGTTTTTTTTGGGTTTTTTAATTTTTTTTTTGTTTTGAGTGAAAAAAGTGAGAAAAAAAAAAGAAAAAAAAGTTGCAAATTTTTTTGGGAATAAGAGTCTACAAAGCTATGAAGATCAAGAATTATCATGAAGAAAAGCTCAAAATTATCGAAAACTCAAGAATAAGGCGAAATTTGCCAAGTTGTTTATTGTATTTTTTTTTCTAGGTATTTTTTCATATGTATACTTGGGGGTTTAACTATAAATACATTGAGGTTAAGAAAGTTTTATGGGGATGGATTCGGAGGGATGCATAAAATGAGCATTATTCAAAAGAAGTGGGAAAGTGTTTATGAAGATTGTGAGTATTTAGGATTTGGGAAGTTCTTAGGAAAATATAAACACAAATACATGCATTTCTATCTTGGAGTAATGGAGAGGCTCAAAATAGATTGTTTTGTGCGATATTGATAACTAAAGTCTTGATTTGATGATAATAAAATCAGTTTTGTTT